TAAAAAAAAAAAAAAAAGAAAGAAAGAAAAAGAAAAAGAAATGAAAAGAGAGCCCTGGCTCGAAGCCATTGTTCGGAATTTAAGAGCTCTCTGCCCCCGGAGCCTCGGCAGACTCCTCGCTAATTATAATAACTGTCAGATGTCTGGAAAGTCGACGGGGCTTCTGTTGGTGGAGTCAGCAAAGTTTGCCTTTTATTTTCCTCGGGGGCAGGTCGGATCTGCTCAGACGTAGCGAGCGAGGAGCCAGCCGAGGACATCCGTGGGTGCCTTCCCTTTTCCTTACGAACAAAGCGGCAGGCTGGAGGGGACCTTCTGGGCACCGTCTCCCGCGGCCGCTTTTATTTTTTATTCTTTATCTATCGCATCATCAAGCGTGCAACCGCTGTGCCCCGAATATCTCCCTGCTGGCGGCACCCCCTCCGATCCCACGTAGACAAGAGCGCCCTCAAAACCTTCAAATAATATTCGATGCCGGTGGCATCAAACTATTTGAATCGGGACACTGGACAGGGGGGAGGAAAAAAAATGGTATATACTTACAATTTCAAAACGGTGGTGGGTGCCGGTCCCTTGTCCCCCCCACCCGGGAGGCAGAGCAGGGGCTGTGGCCGGGCTGTCCCCGCCGCAGGTGCAGGATCCGGGGCGCGCGGCCGGGAGGCGGGGCGGGGGTGCTCCGTGGAGCCCGGGGGCTCGGCCGGGTGCTCAGGCATCCCCGCTCCAGCCGGGGCTGGACTAGCTGCGGTTCTGAATTGAACTCAACTGCAGCCCATGTGAGCGACAGGGGCGGCCAGTCATGTGGGGGACACGGGGCCGCCCCATTGGCCGCCCGGCCCGGGCCCAGCCTGCCGCCTCCTGCAGCATTGGCCCCGAGTTGAAACTGAAAGCACCCAGCTCCTCCCCTCGGGCTTATTTGTTCTCCGTGTGGCAGAATGACTGTCGGATTTCGCCGTGACAGGCTCGGCGGCCGAGGAAGGGGCTCCTTCGTCCTGGAAGGAGGAGGCTGGAAGCCCGGCTTTTCCGCGGCGGCTCTCCCGCCCGCAGTTGGGGCCGTGACGGGCGCGTTTGCCTCTCAGAAAAATGTGTTTGTGATTTTGGGGTGTGGGGGGGGGGCGTCTGTTTTCTTCCCCCACAGTTAACTTTGTAGGTGACACAAAGTAAGGAATGGTCTTGGTTCCTGTGAGGAGCTCGGCCACGTTTGGAAGCACATGTGTGTGTGTATATGTGAGAATTTTTTTTTTTCCAGGGATGAATTCTCAACCCTTATTTTAATATTTAAAGAAGCTCCATTTTGGTTCTGAACCAACAGACTGAATTGTTCATTAGTGACTCTAGGAGCTGAATTAACTTTCTCGAGACGCGATTACAGTTTGGAGAAGGCCCGGACGGGGGGG